AAAAAAAAAATCAAAAATTAACGCGATGTTTTAGAAACTTCAATCTTACACTTTATTATCTATGTATACATACATGAAATCTGCATATCAATATTTTTTCTAGAAATTATAATAAAAGTTTGGAATTTAGACGAAACTTTTCCGATTTTTTTCGCACAAAGTTTGAAACCAGGATTTGAGGATGCATGCTTTAAGGCGGTTGTATATTTAAAATCTTTCATTGAAAACCAAAATTAGGTGGCACGTAATGAGCATTATGTGTGGTTGCACTGCTCACATATGTTAGTTTGGTGAAAATTGGTTTGTTGGGGCATGTGTGAGAAGCGAGTGGCGAATAAATTGGCTGTCTGTTGTAAGATTAGCTTTGCTTGTATATCCCAGTCGATGTTTGGGCCTCACAGTGTAAATCCTAAACACTTGAAGCGTGCCTTCCATCTATCACAACATGATCGACTTTGTATCACGTTTTTCGCTTCGGAGCCATGTATGATAAGGGATATTTTCTTACTGAAACCAAGGGCTGAAAGCCTCAGTCCGTTATCCGTAGTCTAATCCGCCGATTAATTTAAGCTTTCTTTTGTGTTTTTAAGTGACGGGTTCCAATCCCAGCACACAACATATTGCTGGGGTTTATCTAATACCAGGTGATACTTGGGGTAAAACCGACATACGCGTGCAGTGCAACCGCATTCCCCGCTCATTAGGTACCGCCGCCGAAGAATTAGTAGGATTTAAGCGAGCCACACCTACAGGGCCACGCTGCGATCCGGCGCAACGCGAGCCATGTTGGACCGTTATAACGAACTGAAGAGGGAAGCGGTATGTATTTAACGCAAAAGGAAGAGAGAGGACGAAATACGTGAGTGCGAAGAGCTTGAAATACTAGCCGGCAGGAAAAACGGCCGAAAATTCTACCAGAATGTTAAGCGACTTACGGAAGGTTTCGAGACCAGGGAGACCTCTTATTAGAACAACAATAGCAAATAAAGCTATTGGAGCTGACGTCCTGCCAGCCAGTATATTCAGTATGCATGACGTCAGTTGGCACATAAGAGAAACGACTAGCGTGCTTAGTTTAATTCGGCCTAAATCGCTTAGGCAGTTGCAGCGCCAAATAAGAAGAAGAAAGCACAAATATATTGAAAAATATCCTACAAGTTTTTGATTTTACCAATGAATATTTTTGTATGTATGCGCTGCTTTCACAAAGGTCGAAAAATATATCCATGCCAAATAAGGATCATGTTTCAGTGCTAAAAAATCTAGGATAATTCAAGAAGGTTTTAAGATCTGTTAGCTTTTGTGGAAAAAAAAACTACCGAACTATTCTTTGTTCCGCATTCGGCTGCCGTAAATATGGTACCCGTGCCTATGCATACGTGATACGGTCTAATGTACATACACGCATACCCACAAAGCATTCTTCTATTGAATTGCAAAAATTACTAAAATTTCAAAAACGTTCTCATTATGCTGTTTTTGTTTACATTTCATATATTTATTTAGATACACAGGTTTAAATGTAATAAAACTAAGGGTCAATTACAATATAAAATAGAATATACAAATTGTTGAAAGCGTTCAGATAAAACATAATGTACATACATATGTATGCATATGCACATACATATGTAAGTATGTAGGTACATATATTCGAGTACTTTGTTTTAATTAATTTTCTATCAGAGGCCAGAAATCAGTTCAAAGTTGCGGTCGCCGATAGGTGCCCAAATATTCACCGCACTCGGCGCAGTAATGACGTCGACTGAAGCAGCGCAATATTGGTCGTAGCATCACCGTTTTAGCCGTGGCCTGACAATAGGGACAAGTGACCTCGTGTGGTTGTGGACCCACAGCGAAGTATGTTGGCTGTGGGACGATTGGCAGCTTCTGTTGTGGTTGAACCATAATCTGCTGTATGACAGACAGAACTGAGTTTGGAAAAACACAACGCGTTAGAGCGTGAAGGACAGAATTATACTAATAGATTCTCGCTTTGTATAATTGTAATTTTATGCACGAATTCAGGTAAAATTCTAATCCAAGTATATTTAATTTTTTTAATCGTTTCGGTTTTGTGAAAACCAATCCGCCAACCGCAAAATAAAAATAAATAATTATGTACGTGTAACTTTCCGAGCGATCTGCTATAGACTGATTCTCTAAAAGCGAGCAGCTGAGCGCAACCAGCTAGCAGCCGTCTTTATGTGGCAACAGATTCGTACTCGATTGGTTGTGTGACTGCCCATTTTCGAGAGTTTATGTGCCCACTTGTCGCTCAAACGCTCCGGCAATAACCGCTTCTACACACATGTGTATACAGTAGTTAGTATGTACATATGTGCATCAACTATGAAATTGTAGCAGCAGCACCGCAAAACACTGATGAGCTATATCGGCTAACAACCGGCAACGACTCATCTCAAACGGTGCCCAGAAGGCAGGGGTTCTACTCTGCGGCATAAAATGAAAATTCTATTCACCGGACCACCCGCCGAACTGATTGCCAACATTCGCATACATTTGTGTTGCTATTTTTATGCCACCACAAACAATATGAAAACAAAGCGAACACATATCTAGGCGCGCAGAAAAATTTTTGGGCAAGAATTAATACTTATAAAAAACGAAAAGTGATGAGATTTAAGATTCTCAAGTAAATAGCATGCACCACCAGGATTTCCAAAAAATTTTAAAACATTTTGGTCCAAAAAATATTAAAAATTTAAGCTCTCACCTCCTTGGATTTTTTAAATGGAAAAACAGAATACCCGTATTTTTTGTTAAAAAAAACTTATACTTAGAACTACCTCAAAGCCCATGAAGTTTTCTCTTCTCGTAAGAATGGTATGCAAACCCTGTTTCTCTTTAGCAGGCTTCCCAAATACCCAATTGTTTATTTAAATTTTTATTAATACTACCGATTTTTTATGGTGGAACCCATTGTACCTACAATAAATAAATGGTTCGTAATAAAAAATTGTTAACAAATAATTGGGATTTTTTTGGAAATCTCCTGAAGAGAAACAGAGTTTTCCGATCGAATAATATTGATTTTCAAGAGCTCCATACCATTTCTACGATAATGTGTTTTTTCCACATAAAGTGCATGGAAAACTTCATTGGCTTTGAGGTAGTTCTTTAAAATATGTTTTATTAATTAATCGTCTACCGACACATTTATATTCAATGAATCCAAGTCGTATTCCGCCACTGTATGGAATCTCAAGGCACCGCTCTTCACAGGCTTTTCTACTTCTTTCTGAGCATTCTTAACCTATTCTGGAGTTATAAATAACTTTGGTCCAATGGTTGTAAATACGAGAGTAAGAGATATACCCCTGAAAATGTATACCGAAATGGTTAGAACGCCGAGCTGAGTATGATGTATTAGTTATTGGTCGGAACTGGAAAAATCGGGTCACTATAAAACACATATGTATAGTTTTAGGTTAGACTAGTCAACTAAAATTTATCCCCTAGTGTAGCGAAGAGAGTGTGTGGATGAGTCGCCTACTGTTTCGGGCGCTTCCCCATATTACTGATCAACTGGCCAATGATATCATTTAATAAGGCTTTCATAAGGTATTTAATGTTTGCCTAACTTTACAACACACAGTGTGGAAAGTAAACTTTTTTGTGACTAAATCTAATATCTCGAGAACGAAAACAGTTAGGGAAATAAATTTAACAGCATTTTAGGAATTTTGACATGGAAAATTTCTAATGACCTTCAAAAATAGATTTCTAACTTTTTTAATTTTTTGGCGTGAAAATTTATATATATGTCATAAACATTTTAAAACGTTTCAAACATATACGTACACTACTTCTGGATATAAGAGCTCAAAAAAATATTCAGAATTAATAAAACAACCGCTCTTGTAGAAAAATCGGCACACACAACACAAAACCAAAAGTTGCCACACCGTGAAAAATCATAAGAATGCTGCCAACTTTTTAAATTTTTTATACCGAGATTCTTGTTTGAGTTCTATCAAATGGTTCACACATTGGCAACGTAGATTTTAAAAGCGAGAAATACAATAACTGGAAATTTTCATGTATATTGCTTATGCTGATTTTTCGTGACCCAATGTTGTTAACTCACACGAGGACCAAATTCAGGGATATTTTTTAGAGAATACGCCTAGAAAAAATTTGTATCTCAAACGGTTCAATAGTTATAATATTTTTAATGAAAACAATGATAATTTCAAATGCCCACCGACATCTTTTACAACTAGAATAAAAATTTGTCCAAATAGGAGAATTTTCTGCTCAGTAAATAGGTACTTTTAAGACCATAAATTCATTAGGTTTGTAACTTTGGATCAACCTAATATGTATGTTTCTCATTGCAAACTGTTTTCGGATCAAACAAAAAAGAAATACAACCGCCTCTTTCGAAGGTCATTTGAAAGGTCTAGCCAATTTTTTTTATCCAATCATTCTATCTCTCCTGAATTTTCAAAATGTCAAAAAGCTTCGAAATACTGTTAAACTTATTTCGATAGCTATTTTCGTTCTCGATATGCATATTATGTATGTATAAGGTTTTGACTCAAAAAAAGTTCAACTTCCACAATGTGCTAAGTAATTCAGATAGAGAAAACTTTCATTGCTACACTCTAAAAAGTGCATGTAAAACTACTAATAAAAAGTGTTTATTTTTCAATCAGAATCTGTGTAAATATACAAATAGGATGTTCAAGATTGGACTTTTGAGCATGAGATGTCAAAAATGTGCACATACATATATGCATGAAATGTTAAAAATTGCAAACTTTTTGAATGCAAAAATTGTTTACTATTAATAAATATTAAGTGCGCCTATTTAATCAATTTTGAACATTTTATGCGTAATTGTATTAACACGGTGTGTAAATTTAAACAAATTAAGTAGGGAAACTGGTTTCCCCTCTTAATATGAGTGAATTCAAACAAAAAGTTTTTAAAGTGTATTTATTTACTCTGCTCAATACAATAAACTAAAAAATAATAAAAAAACCACAAATTCGTACGAAGAACGATCGATGGCTAAACGTTTTTTTTTTGTATATATTTATTTCATTAAATTATTGACCATCTTGCCAATCCAAGACAAGAGAATTAATAAAACGCAATTTTCTTTCCAAAACACTTTTACAATATACATATTAATCGTGCATGTAGACTTATCGGAGTATTTAAATGTGTATTTTTAAAAGCTTAGTACAAAAAGTTTATATTATTTTTTTCAGAAATATATATACTATATATGTACATACATATATATCTACATATGTATGCCTGTATGTACGTACACAAATATAGTACATTTACGTGTTACATTTATTCACGTAAATATTTGCAATACATTTTATACCAAAATATAATTTTTTTATTTATATTTATTTTATGTTCTTATTATCGAGAGTTTTCTTGAGAAAGAAAAAGTGGCAAAAATTTATGATTTTTTCGTCATTGGCCTTCTTGGCTGTAAAGGAATACATGTGTAGTGGTGCAACCATCTCATGATTTTTCGATCGTTTTCGGTTTGATGGCTGAATGCTTCATTGCGCGTCCAAAGTAGCAGCCACAATTCTTACAATAATGATTTCGATCGGTTTGTTTACAAGGTATGTAGTAGTCCATGCAGCAACAACAACAAAATGTGCTAGAAGTGGAGAGAAGAAGGTACTGAATGAAAATTCAAAAAAGCGGATATCTAAAATATAGGCATCTGCAAATAACTTTTTCTGAATATACCCGTTTAAGATCTTAAGACCTGGCCTTTACTTGATAAAAATCCATTTTAAAACCGGCTTCAAAAAAATGAGGAGAGTATCTCGTCGTCGGAATATTTTCTTTTGGTTTTATGTATGTTACCGCATAACTTTCGATCACGTTAACCGATTTCTATAATTCCTTTATTAAAGGAAAAGTGGTACCTCAGAGATGGTCCCATACTAGTTTGGTTTAGATCCGATCATCATTTGTACTCTTAAATTTTTATATGAGAATTGAAGTCGGGTTTTGTTTCTTGCTAACAAATTACTTATGTATAAAACGAAACAATTAAAGGTGTTCGTTTTAGATTTTTACTTCATTAAACGAATCACAATTTCCAATCCAGACAAGAATTTATCCATTGGAATGGTTTTCGGAAATATTTCCATTTTTTGAATCCGTAAGTAATTAGAGAAAAAGGTAAAAATAAAATCTATCAATAAAAACTCTTTTATTGCATTGTTACATTTCGATATTTATGTGAAAACTATAACAAAAACAAGTAAATAGGTAGGAGTTCTGGCGAAACCGAACTTTATATACCCGGGGCAGGTATCAAATATTTCAGCTTTCTTTAAACTACTTTTGCATTAGAGTTCATTTCCATGATCGATGATCTAATTCAAATTACTCAGGTGACATAGTTCATTTAATTCATTCTCGTTCACTTAAGTTCCCAATTTTACATTTTTTTTTTCAATATTTAGTGAATCCGAATAATAATTTCTTACCAAAAGAAATGTGTATATATTATTTAGAATAACATTCAACGATAGCATAAATATTAGCTTTCTTATAAGGAATTCACCGAGATCATACATATAAATGCTATATGTAGGCTTTGTAACAATTCAGCAAAGATAATCCTTTAGGTAGATATGTATGTACATTAGAGTGGTCCAATTTTTGTATGGAGAAAAAAATTTCATCCTAGAAAACGGGGCACCCCCTTAGTTTTTTCCTTTTGATATCTGTAATATATATACCAACTTTCAGTTTTCTACTGCAACCAATACAGGGGGGCTCAATGACCTTGAAATGCGCTACTGGATCGCTGTGAAACTGGAAAAAATATTGTTGATTTTTATAATGACAACTGAAGCTTGTGATACTTTAATAGATAATTTTAATTTGAAATGTTCTTAGTTTACATAACCAATTGTTTGATTAATATATGTACACAATACTTCTATAATAAAATACGAGCAGCATGAGCATCCTCCAAATGGATACTTATAAACGTAAGTTTTGGTACCACAACCTCTTTCGGCAAGAGGAAAAATTTTGGAAGGTGCCCCAAACGATATCTCGAAAAAAATTATTTTGGACCGCTCTAATGTACATACATACACTGGGTGCGCATCGAAATTTTTCTAGGCTTTTAAAAATGTTAAGGAAAATATACATATATATACATATATCACATATGTGTATCTCAAAAACTACTTGACCGATCTCGACCAAATTTGGTACACACATTGGGCTTAGGCTCCTTAAGCCCGATATTTATGGGCTCCACCAACGTAACGGTAATTTCAAAAAAATCAAAGCTAGCTATATTTTAGGGGGAGTAGGTTTTGTCCATTTCAAAAATATCCAGGACGGTTTAATAGGTTAATTTTTTATAAAGATATTGCTGAATGTATAACATAAGCCATATAAGTCAAAGTTAAAATCTTGTGCATAACTCACAAAAATTTAACAGATTAAAAAAAAA